CCGCGCAAGGGCCGGGCGGGGACGCGCAAGGGCCGCGCAAGGGCCGGGCGAGCCCGCGCAGGGGAGCGCAGGGCGCTGCGGGAGCCCGTACGGCCGCGCGGAGCCGCGCAAGGGCAGCGCAAGGGACGCGCAAGGGCCGGGCGAGCCCCCGCGACGGCGGCGGCTGCTCCGCGCTCAGCCCCCGGCCCCGCGGGCGCGCAGCCGCTCCCCGCGGATCTCTCCGCAAGCGCGGCTCGAGCAGCGCTCCCGAGGGGCCGCGGGGGCTCCGCGGGCGCTCCCGCGCCCCTAAAGTCGTTTGGAGGCAGCGGCGCAGGGCGCAGACAGCGAGGCTTTGTGCCGGCGTGTGAGTGGAGCGCAGCGCAAAGCAGGGAAAAAAAAAAAAAAAAAAAAAAAAAAAAGAAAAGGGGGAGAGAGAGAAAAGAAAAAAAGAAAAAAGAGAAAGCAAGAAAGAAAAAAAGTGGTCAGAGTAGGTTTGAGAAGGAATCCGGTAAGTTATAGGAAGCAAAATTAAATGTCTGGTGCTTACACGACGGCATGTTTTACAAGGGAGAAGGAAACTGTGCAGAAAATGCATGGGCTTTTATTGTTGGATTTCATTGCCTGTATTGTGGTGGATGCTTTATGCTACGGAGAGCAAGTTTAATTGAACCAGATCGCTGATTTCATATAGTAGGGGGCATGGGGTGGTTTTTTTTTTTTTTTGTTTTGTTTTGTTTTCGGGGTTAACCCTTTAGGGGACTAGAGGCAGTCAGGACTGAGCTCCACAGCTCCGAGTTTCAAGCCAGCAAATAAAAACACATTACATAAAAACAAACACCGAGCCCAGTTATCAAATCCTCAATCTCTAGCTATTATTTTCCCTTGTATTTGGAGCTTTTTTTTTTTTTTTAAATCACATCTGTCGTTCCCAGCCTTTCCCAGGACTGCAAAGCAAAGTGGACAGCTTCCATGTGACCACCTAGTACAGGAGGCGTTTTCTGCTGGGAAACTTTGCAGTGGTTTTCTCCTTCCCTTTCCTTCTGAGAGCTCAGAAAAGAAAATGTGCAATCTTCCCAGTGATTAAAGTCTCCGTATTTGTCTTCAGACTTATCGGGTTTATCCAAACTTTTGTGTGTGTGTGTGTGTATCCCCCAGCCCCCCCTCCTGTGCATTTGTAAAGTAGCCCCATCTAGCAATGATAAATATCCCTGTTGATCACTTGATTGATTACCTCTCGGAAAGGTCACGCGGGCTTGCAGTAATTTCCTTTTGCCTAAGGCTCCCTTTTCACTTTTACTCCCGCACGACAGCTCCAAGTATACAGGATCTTTATTTTTGATTTTTAACCCCTAAATAGCTCCCCGAAAACAATGCGATGGTGAAAAGAAGGAGGGAAATCAGCCGGCGGCTCCGCGCTGCCCCAGCCCTGCCGCGCTCTCCCGGGGCGGGTTTGGGGAGGGAGAGCCTCCCTCCCCTGCTCTCCTGTGGACTGAGAATTCGGATTTAAACAACCAGACAAGCTATTAATTTACCCATGCTACCCAGGGTCCTGAACCCAATTAATTTCTAATAATTACAGCCCAAGGGGGCTGGAGAGATCCCTCTGCCTCTTTCTAGCCTTGCCACTTCGCGGCACCGAGGTCAGCATATAATAATAAAGTGTATATTTTGAAAGTGATCAGCAGAACAGTGAGTTATTGCAATGAATGAAAATTGTTTCCATTTTGGCTAATTGAGCCCGTGGCTGAAAGCTGGAGTTCTGAGACTAAATAAAGAGGACTGTTTTATTTCGACGTGGGCTGGAAATCCCTGCATAGCTTTTCGGTCACCCAGCAAGAAGCTTAATTTCTTACCAGCAAACCTGAACTCAAGCGTTGGGTAAACAGTATTAATAATTGCATTACAATGATTAAATTAATCTTACTGGTAGCTAGGAGAATATAGATTGAGATTGAATAACACGATGTAAAGTTCACTGCACAAAGACAATAGCACAACAAATACCTCGATAAAGAATTCCAACTTTTCTCCAAGTAGACTGCGGGGCTTGCTCAATTATAATGTAAGGAAGAGAAAATTTCCTGTTACGGGGAATGCCCTGAAACCTGTGTACGAGGGGGTGCCTTTGGTCTCCCAGCCCGTATTAGAAACAGATTTAATTCCACCCCTCCGTCCTGAAAAACATTTTCCCAAATTTTAATCTCTGTTTCTGCCCGTGGATCCGCTGAAATCGACCCCGCATCCCCGCCGCCGGTCTCTTCCCACTCGGGAGGGAGCAAAGGCTGCCGGCGCGGGGGAGCTCCCCCGCACCAACGAAACGGAATTCCCGGGGGGCTGCCCGGCACTTTTGTGGGAAGGGGGCGAACCTGGCGGGGCCGAGCTGGCGATGCCGGAGCCCCGGGCGGGCGGCGCGGCACCTGCCGGGCTCCGGGCCGCTGGGACGGCGGGCAGGTGGCGGTGACAGGCGGGCACGGCCGGGGTCAGGGCCGCCCGCCCGGGAATGCCGCATCTGCGCCCCGGCCCCGCGGGGGCTCGGCCGCCCGCTGCGAGCGGCTCCCCGGGCACGGGGAAGGACGCGCATCTCTTTGCCGGGGTCTCCGCTTCAACCGGGGGCGCGGTTTGACTTTGCAAGTTCACGGGGGTTCGCGTTTTTCCCGAGTGACCCGGCGCCGCGGGTCGGGGGGGTGTGAGGGGTGATCTGGGGACAGCTCGGTGCGGCCCCGCAGGGAAAGGCAATGTTTGCGAGCGAGGTCGGGGCTCGGGCAGTGCCAGGACCCCGAGAGCAGCCCCTGCACCCCGAGAGCAGCCCCTGCACCCGGCCCGGCCCCGCGCATCCCCCGCGCAGCCCGTGGCCGCTCCCCGGCTGTCCCGGCCCTGCCTCCGCAGGGACAGAGTGGCCCAGCTCCTCCCGGGACAGCCCGGACAGGGCATCCCGATGGGTGCAGGGGCTTGGGGGAGTCCCCTGCCCTCCTGCTCTGGGGATGTTAGGTGCTCCCCTGCCCGGCTGAGGGGGGATGTGGAGAGGGCACACAGCAGCTGCTTGTCCTTAAAAAAAGGGGGGAAAAAAAAAGAAGAAAAAAATTTCCAAGTTACAAATTAAAAAGAACGATTGGCATCGAAGACGGCTCCGCAGTGCGGGTTCAAGCGCTTGCGCCTGTCTGCCGGGCGTTCGGGGCAGCAGAGGGATCCGCGGTGCCCCCGCCCCACGCGCGGGGCTGTCACCCGTGGGGCGGGGGGGCTCCACGGGCGGCCCCGCTCCGCAGCAGCGGCAGCCGGGGGGTGGGAGGCGGGATGGAAGGGGGAAGGGGCGATGCTGAGGATTTTATTAAAACAAAAAAAGTTGAGCAGCGTGTATGTACTGGCGCAGCCCCGAGTCTGAAAGATTGTAATTTTCTTTTATGGTGTCTGGCAGGATTTGCAACAGATATTAATGGGAACATAAATAGCGCATGGAAGGTATTGAACAAAACTGTTTAATGCAAGGAGGTTGTACCGGGGGAAAATCTATACGTAGTTTGGATTGATTCATACCTCGGACACAGCCATCCCCTAAAGGAGTTCCCAATTTCTGCGCGCTCCCTCTTTGATTGGCAAACCCTGTAATTAAAACAGATTAGAGCGGTCGGTGTTACTGTTTTTAAAACGCTTTTTTTCTGCCCAACTGGTGGTGGCTGAGCCGAGTTCAAGGTGGCGAAAAAGTGTGCGCGCCGCGAAAGTGTACGATTTCATGGTACGCATACATAATAAAACATGTAATCAAATTATATCTCTCTGCCTATATATGCGGAAAGATCTACGGTAATCGCTGCCGGCTGAGAATAAACTATTTAAACCTTGCAAAGACTCCAGAACGGTATTAATATCCCATTAAAAAAAGGGGAAAAAGGCAGAAAAAAAAGGTGTCGCTTCTCCCCCCAGCCCTTGCCCCGCGGGAGCGCGGGTCTCCCCCGCGGTGACCCCTCCCGGGTGCGGAGGCGGCGGAGCGGCTGCCCCGCGGCCGCGGAGGCGCAGCCCGGCGGCGGCTGCGCGCCTCGTCCCGGCCCGTCCCGGCCCCGGTGCCGGCTGTCAGGGTCCCCACCGGCGGTGATGGATCGCTGCAAACTTTTTTTTGGCGGCGCTGAAATGTTGAAGAGCGGGGGGGAGCCGCCCGTGCGCATGTGCGAAGGTGTCCAAACTGACAATGCTGGAGAGATAGCGAGCCGGGATTGAGAGAAAGGGAGAGTGTGTGTGCGGGAGAGGGAGAGGAGAGAGGGAGAGGGGGAGCGAAAAAGGAGGAAAAGCTCCGGGAGGAAAAAAAAAAAAGCCCCCCCCTACCCCAAGCCCACGCCAGCATCGGCCGCGGGACTGGCAGCATGCGATCCAAGGGCAGGGCGAGGAAGCTGGCCGCAAGTAGGTGCAATACCCCTTTCTCTTGGCTTTTCACCCTCCCTCTCTGCCATGTTGCATAGACATGTCTGGTGCGGCGAGGAGCTCGCAGGCAACCTGCAGCATCTCCTCCCAGCCTCCCGGCCCGGCCCGGCCCGGCCCGGCTAGCCGCGGGCGCAGGTAGCCGCTGCGGAGCTACCGGGCATCCCCCGGGCCCGGCCGCGCTCGCCCGAGGGTTTGTGCCCAAAAGCGGCGCCCGTGGGGCGGGCGGGGCCGCTCGGCGGGGCCGGGATCGCCCCGCGCGGGTCGGCGAGGGACGGCGGGGCCGCCGGGCAGCGCGGAGCGCCTCCCAGCCCGCTGGAGTCACCCGCGAAAAGTTGATGTAAATGTTGTAATTTCAGGCGCTTTTCCAGCACTTTTTTATACAGTTTGGCCGCCCGAAGGTCTGTGTTCCGCGAGGCGAGGGCTCGGCCGTCCACACGCAAAGCCCGACTTACTTAATTATTTGTCTTACGCTCACCCCATCTGTTTCTCCTTTATGATAGGGATCTCTGCTTTTAACTGCTGCAGTGTGGGGGCTCCTTTTAAAAAAAAAAATCATTTTTTTTAAAATGAATTTTGAATGGGTTCAACAACAAAACTTCGCCAGCTCTCGCGTCCTGTTTTAAAAACAACTGATATCTTTATTTTCTCTGACACATCTGGGGAAGTTTCATTTGATACCCATGGCGATGGCAACTTACATTCCCGAGTGGAAAAAAAATGGGCAGGAGGAAAAAAATCAGATGAAATGTTGCATAAGTTGCGTGACGTATAAAGCAGATGCTTATTTACTCTTTATTTGTGAAGGGGGAAAAAATAGAGAAGCGTGGAAAAGGGGAAGTGAAAGATGTCTCTGGATCATCATCAGCTTTTCTCTGAACCTGAACAACAGCAGCAACCTGCGTTTGATTAGGTGATCTCAAAGTGGATAGTCCAGCGCCCTCAATCTGAAAACAAATATACTTTTAAATCTCAAAGTTACCATCCGTTCTTTGGAGCTAATTATGGGGGGAAAATCTCCCATCCCCGACAAAATCCGTCAGGTTTCCTCGCCTCTCCCTTGCTTTGCTCGCTGCGCAGCGATGCAGGGCTCCTGCTGCTGCTCCTGCTCCGGCTCCAGCTCCGCGGGCGAGATCCGATCGACTGCAAACTTTGCGCGTCTTGCAGCAGCAGCAGCAGCAGCAGCACTTTCCCCTCCTAGACAGATGTGTTGCATTAAATAATCCTTCGGTTACAATGGACTCATAAAGGAAATCATATTTAAAAAGCCGGGATTTATTTCTTTTTTTGTGTTCCGAAAAGCTGCTTCTTTCCCCCCCGAAGAGCGTCTCAGTTTCATGGCAAGTGGAAGGAGGGCTGGAGGCGACCTCTTTAATTTAGTCGTTCGAGAGAAAAAGGTTTTAGCTTTTCGGATCCTTCTGTCTGAGTTAGGAATAGGAAAATACTTTGCAGCCTTCACCCTTTTACGTGGAAAAAGATACAGATCGGGATAAAGCGCATTTCTTGTATTATTTCACTTTTATTGCTTTATGCGTGAAACAAAAAAATCGCCCCGATTGCGTGACTGTCGCTAATACCCAGACAAGCTTTTCCCTCTTAATTAAGGGAGAATACCTGAAGGGTATTTTCTTGACCTCAGTGTAAAATCGCTAAAAAATAATCTTGAAGCTTTGCCCCCCCTCTTAAAAAAAAAAAAAAAAGAGATAGAAAAATAATTTAGAAGAAACAAAAAGAGCCACGCGGGGAATAGCCAGTGAATTTTTTTAAATGTCCAGCTGTAAAAATAAGGGAAAACACACGCTGAGGTCGGTCTGCCCGCCACGCTCTCGGGAGGCGGGCGGTGAGGAGCGGGGAGCGGCCCGGGGGGCGCGGGCCCGGCCGCCCGCAGCCGCGCTGCACCTGCGCGGGCATCCGCGCTCCGTGGGGCTCCGGGACAGGCCCCGGGCCCCGGGCAAGCTGCTTTTCCACTCGGGTGGGTTCGTGCCCGCCTGCTGAAACCGTATCCCCGAATAACCCCCGCCCCAGCGCGGGCCGCCGCAGCCCCGCAGCCGGCCCGGGGCAGCCCCAGCCACCCAGTAGCCTCATAAAGAGACAGAAGGTGATCAGATTAGGGGAACACACGTGAATAAGGAGGCACTTGTTACTTTTACACTTTATCACCACTTTTTTACAGGCAATTTAGTGCAGTCAAGGTAGATCCAGATCCCTCTAACCATCTGAGATAGTAAAATAGCACTTTCCTAAGTTTCAGCAGGTTTTCCTGCGCCTGTAATTTGCCTCAGTCTAGTACTTAAAAGCCTTGATTGAAAAACAGAGCCGGCAAGTTTATTTGCCTGTTTAAGACTGTCCGGGAATTTGTTTTCGAGCGGGGAGATGTTTGCCGTGTCCCGGCTGCCGGCCCTCTCGGCGAGGCTGTTTATTTGCCATCGCTTTGCCATCGCCTCCGCCTCCGGGCTCCTGCACCGCCGCGGGCACCGGCTGCCCGTGCCGCGGGCCCGGCGCGGGCGGCCGGCTGTCCCTCTGTCCCTCTGTCCCTCGGTCCCTCTGTCCTTCGGTCCCTCTGTCCCTCCGCCCCACCCGGCCCGGCCCCGCCGCCGCTGCTGCCGCGGGCCGGCACCGCCCCGGCACCGGGCTCGGCTCGGTTCGGCACCGCCCGGCCCGGCCCGGCCCGGCGGCATCCCCGGCGCGGCGCTGTCCCCGGGCCCTCTATTTTTTTCCCTCCTTCTCTTTTTTCTCCTCTCCCCACTCTCTATCCTTCTCTCTTACTCAGGGCCATCAGCCACCCCTGAATTTGGGACCAACTTTGCCGGCGGGGCTGAGCCCTGCGGTGCCTCCTGGCTGCTCCCGGGCCACCCCGGGCCGGCCGCGGGGCTGGGCAGGGAAAGGACACAAAGGAAAAGGACTGTCCGAAAGGCGAGCCCGTTATTAATACAGCCCCGCTTGTAAATGAAAAATGTAACCCTTGTTAATTAACGCTGTTTACATGGGGTACAAGAAACTTAAGAAATGTTTCTACAAAGGGGAAGGAACTGTTTACAAAACTCTTTCAAAAGTGTGACATATTGCTGCAGTTCCAGCACTAAAAAGCCAAACACACTTACACGCCTTTGAAGTTGGCTGGCTGAGGCAACATTATTTGACTGGGATTCAGATATTGCTTGTGGGTATAACTAATGGCTTTTACCTAGTTAGTGGGCTGGGAGGGGCGAGGGCCTGGGCGCCGTGGCCATTGGGTCCCTCTGGAGAGCTGGGGCTGGCTCCCCGCCAGCTCTGTACAATGTCAACATTGAATATTTGAATTCCCAGACTCTATTTAACAACTTTCTAAATAAATAAACTCATTGTGTGTCTGTGTTTAAAATTATTTCACCTCTTTCATGAAAGCTACAGCATCTTATTACACCGGCCTCTCGGGCTGCTTTTCCCCCTTTTCTTTCCAAACAAACACAAACGGAGCTGAGCACTTTTGGTTTTTTTTTTTTGCGCGGCGCTGTCCCCGGGCGGCTCCTGCGCGGGGACGGGCCAGGCAATCCCATTATATGCCGGGCATATTTTCACCAGGCGCTTCATTAACCCTTTTCAGGGCGGAGAGCGCGCGTGTGGCTTTTCGCTCCCTCTTTCTGCCCTTCCTTCATTCCTTCTTTTCTTTTCTTTTCTTTTCTTTTCTTTTCTTTTCTTTTCTTTTTCCTTTTCCTTTTCCTTTTCCTTTTCCTTTTCTTTTCTTTTCCTTTTCTTTTCCTCCTCTATTTTTTTCCCTCCTTCTCTTTTTTCTCCTCTCCCCACTCTCTATCCTTCTCTCTTACTCAGGGCCATCAGCCACCCCTGAATTTGGGACCAACTTTGCCGGCGGGGCTGAGCCCTGCGGTGCCTCCTGGCTGCTCCCGGGCCACCCCGGGCCGGCCGCGGGGCTGGGCAGGGAAAGGACACAAAGGAAAAGGACTGTCCGAAAGGCGAGCCCGTTATTAATACAGCCCCGCTTGTAAATGAAAAATGTAACCCTTGTTAATTAACGCTGTTTACATGGGGTACAAGAAACTTAAGAAATGTTTCTACAAAGGGGAAGGAACTGTTTACAAAACTCTTTCAAAAGTGTGACATATTGCTGCAGTTCCAGCACTAAAAAGCCAAACACACTTACACGCCTTTGAAGTTGGCTGGCTGAGGCAACATTATTTGACTGGGATTCAGATATTGCTTGTGGGTATAACTAATGGCTTTTACCTAGTTAGTGGGCTGGGAGGGGCGAGGGCCTGGGCGCCGTGGCCATTGGGTCCCTCTGGAGAGCTGGGGCTGGCTCCCCGCCAGCTCTGTACAATGTCAACATTGAATATTTGAATTCCCAGACTCTATTTAACAACTTTCTAAATAAATAAACTCATTGTGTGTCTGTGTTTAAAATTATTTCACCTCTTTCATGAAAGCTACAGCATCTTATTACACCGGCCTCTCGGGCTGCTTTTCCCCCTTTTCTTTCCAAACAAACACAAACGGAGCTGAGCACTTTTGGTTTTTTTTTTTTTGTTTGTTTTTCACTGTCTCCTATCTCTCCCCTTCTCACTTTCTGTCTGTCTTCTCACAAAGCACGACTGGCAGCTGCTCAGACATCCCACCACGTCCTCAGTGGGACAGCTCTGTGCACCCTGTTATCTAATCATAACTAAAACCAAAGCCAGGTTCACCAAGTCGGTTAAATATTAATCATTTCTAAAAGGAGGCCCAAGTGAGTGCCATTGCTGCAGCAGTGCCCTGAACATACTCAATCATTTTGGCTGCCCTACCCTAGGCGGGCTCCAGGGACAGCTTTCATTGTTGTTTGCCATAAATGGCTATTAGTGTTCATATTCACCTATTCACCTACTTATTTAAGTGCACGTAAATGTGGATGTGGCTGTGCTTATGGAGATGTGTGCATACGTGTGTGTTCAGGACATACTTCTCTGCTTATGCCACGAAGATATATTTATTTATGTGCATAATAGCTATGTC